TATCTATCTATCTATCTATCTATCTATCTATCTATCTATCTATCTATCTATCTATCTATCTATCTATTAAACCATCCATCTAACTGTTTAATCCTCTGCATGCCGAGACCAGCACACTTCTAGTCATCTCTCCAGCTATCCATCTCTCCATAAATATCCATTTATATGTTTAGCCATATTGCCATCTATTTTTGCACACCGTATGAGACAGACTTGGGAAAAAGGCTTTGATTTTTTTCAATGTTTCTGTACCAATTGTAGTCCGCATCAACCTCCCACATTGGACAGCCACAGGGCAGCGTATGAATGTTAGGGGGAGATGAATCCGTGCCGACAAATATGGTTATCTTCCACTTCAGCTCATCATGCATGAATTAATGTGTCAGGGAATACATGGATTCCACGTCGAACATGGAATTAATAAGAATGCATATAAACTCAATAGGCTTGGATGATATGAGTCCCTGTCACCCCTTGTTCAAATCCTCTATCTTCTTCTTCTTTTACCCCTTCACCCTCTTTCCCTTCTCCTGGAAGGCATTCTTGCAAAATTTTTAAATTGACGCTAAGTCAAGAAGACTAACCGACTCTATCATACCTTCATGCATATAATTATAAGGAAAATATTCAGATAATGACTTTGATATCAGATGTTTTTCTCTATATTAAGAAAGAAATCCCAACCTGTTTTTATCAGAAACGAGAGGTGTTATGTCTAATGCGTCAAACTGAAGGCCGCCATAAAGCCAACCGACTGCAGAACAAAGGGCGTCAGCAGTCGTCTTCTGGTGAGACCGACCTCTCGATCCCTCCCTCAACCACATTCACAATAAATGAATATCCCCACAGCAATGACCAAGTACTTACTCAAGAAGTAGTGATTATTTAGCAACATGGTTATACAGAAAATGTACGTTTCTATTTAAATGTATTTAAAAATTATCAGTTATTCTGGAATAAGAACTTACAGGTGAATTATCCCATACAACCAGGTGAGCATACCTCAGGATGCAATTAAATCTCATCTAGGCTTACCT